ATTCAAGAAACCCTAAAGCATAATTTGAATAGCATACAACACTGGTTAGTTCATAAAAAATTGCTTTTAAACTAATGTAAATCCCACTCAATGCTGTTTCAGAGACGTGCCACATCTGCTTCCCAAGTTCATTTAAATTTACATTTCTCTGATTTATCTGAACTGAACTCTGTTCAAGTATATAAACATCGGGGTGTTTGGCTGAAATCTAATCTCACTTTCAAAACTCATATCCAAACTGTCGTAACCAAGATAAACTTTAACTTGAAAACTTTATAATGTTCAATCAACTGCTTTGACTTTAATGTAAGAAAGCAGACTGTCACTCAGCTTTTTTTCCCCTTTATTAGATTATGCTGATATAATTTACCTGAACTCACCTGCATCTCGTCTTTACATGAATTTTATTATTTATAATAGTTTATGTCGTTTTGTCCTGCATTATCAATTTCGAACTCACCACTGCCGTATGTACAATCATGTGTCCTGGCTTACACCTGACTCTAGGTGGAAGTTTCACTTGTTGTTGTTTATTTCTAAGTGTGTTTACTTGAATTTTCCTTCATACTTAACTACTACATTAGCAGAACACATCTTGTTTCACTCGTCATCCCTTTCTCTAAATCGGAATCAGGAATGCTAGTCTTTTCTGTCAAAGCTCTAAGAGTCTGGAACCATCTGCCTGTTTTCCTAAGAATCATCACTACAATAAATCAGTTTAAAATATTTTTGTATGAATATTTAATACCCATCTGTAATTGTTTTTGATTTTTTCACTTTTATCTTTATTTTGTGTTTATCTTTTGTTTCAATGTGTGGCATTGAAATACTGTTTGCTATCTTGGTTTACTATTTGTTTTGATTTGTATAGAGGACCCACTTGGAAACGAGATGGTTCATCTCAAGTGGTTTATCCTCTCGAAATATAAGTTAATAATTAAAAAAATATATCATATTATACAAACTATAGCTCTACATTGCCATAATTAACAGACCGGTACCAGTAGAAGGTAAATTAGAACTGTACAGTTTTACATCTGGGATGTTTTTAAACAAATAAATATGAAATTAATATTAGTTTTTCATGTTCATGTTAGAACCATCAACCACATGTACTTGAGTAAAAAATTGACCATTTTTATTCCGTCACAATTATCAACTTACTGTAAACCAAACAATCATCTGTTTATTGTTATTTTTGAGGGTCATTAAATCAATGTTTCAGTGTTTTTGCTCCGTAAATTTGAAAGTAAAAGAAACAATCATCATCTGCAAAAATTATTAAGTATTTAATCCAGTCTGAATACAGGAAAAACATTAAATCATAAGTTGACTAAGGACCTGGCTTACGCTAATTTTGGGCATGGAGAGCACCTGTTGTGCTGAGAAGGATACAATTATGAATTCCAGCAACATTATCACTTGTTCCGCTTCATCCAAAATATATTATTTGAAATGCACAATGTGGATATTTTGGTTTTAAAATACATAACAGAGTTTTCTAGTTAAAAAGTGGCCTTTCTCAATAAAGCGTCTAAAAAAGCTATTTTTTTCTAAATCTGAACTTCTGACGTAACCAAAGGGAGTTAGAAGCTAGGCTGCCTCAGCTCAGTGTGGAGAGTGGGTAGTTTTAGGGCAGCGAGGTCATGTTATCCAGTCAGTGTGTGTTTACTAGTGTTGGATTGTGTTCATGTGGATAAACTATAGTGTGTGAAGTCTGTACCAACTCCAGCCTGTCTGGACATTAAGCCCACGTGTTTCCAGATAAGAGAAACAATGCCTCTATCTCCGTGCCTGAGGGCGTTTTGTGCAGCTGAAAAGACGGACTTCTGTAGCCCACATCGGTCAGTACCGGGTCAGGGAGGTCCATGCTGGCCTCCAGATACTCGTGGCAGTTTAAAAATGCGGATTTCTGGAGCTCAGATCACCGTCAGAACCGACCACCAGAAGAGACGCGCGGCTAAGCGGGCCAGTCGAGCTGGTTTTATGTCGGTTCCAGATCACAGAAGTACCCATGAGCTGCAGAACCAGATGACAGGCGTCTCTCTCTCAGCTCAGCGGGCCAGCTGGTTTCTGGGACAAGATGACGAGGACACACACAGCAAATTAATAAAATAATGTAGTTCACAGTCTCCAAAAGCAACACAGCTCATGTTCGCCTTTTGTTTAACTTATGGAGCAGACTTTCTCACGCGTACTAAACTCTGCCCACAGGCTTGGAGATTTCCGCATTCTTGAGAAGTCCCTCGGATTTATATGTGAACGCTACACGACCACCCGTTCGAGACCGAACTCACGCCATCCAGCCCCGCCAAACTCCAACCGCGCCGACGCTAATGTGTAAGCGCCATTAGCCAACAAGCTGAAGAGGACTTTTTCCAGCTGATTTATTAGGATCAGAACTGGGCTGTGTCAGACTGGGAGACCCAGAGAAGGAGTTTACTCTTCAGCTTCCTGGTTTTCCTTCAAACAGTAAGTGTATCATGAAGTCATCAGCATACGTGTACATATCCTTTCATCAAATCTAATTTTATTCATGAAACACTTTTCATGCAATGAGTGCAATTCAAAGCGCTGTACAATATGAAAAACAGTCAATTTCCCACCCCTCACACACACACACACACACACACAAAAGCTAAAGTGAAAGGACAACTGGCTGAGTACAGATGCAATAGGCAACAAAGAAACGGAAAAGGAGCCAACTGCACCGGCAGCAGCAGCTCGGGCACCAAGAGGAGGCACGAGAAGCACCCTGGCAGCCACAGCCGACTGCCTCTCCCGGGGAAGTGGTTGATTTGAGATTAAGATTAAGATAACAAATTAAAAACCAAATTAAGCATAAACACCAGATAAATAAAAGTCTAATTAAAACACACTGATAAAAAATAACCAAGTAGAAAGCAACAATTAAGTATATAAACATAATGAAATGCAAATAATGAATACAGGTTAAAACAAGTTAAAAATAATATGAAAATATAAGTAATTTAAGTAAAAGAGAAAGTAATAAAACACTGATAAAATATATAAAAGATGGTTAAACAGGCTAAAATAGATTAAACTCAGCTAAAAGCTATAATAAAAAGGTCTAAACTTAGCACAAAACTCCTGTGTGAGATAAGAAGTAAACCATTTATGGACAGCACCAGACAGGCCGATGTGTTTTAATATTGTGTTTTATATAAAGAATATTGTGGTCCACTGTATCAAAGGCAGCATTTAAATCCAGTAGAACCAGAACAGTTACTTTCTGTGCATCATAATTTATTCTTAGACCATTTAAAACTCTTAAAAGGGCCGTCTCGGTGCTGTGCTTTACTCTAAAACCAGACTGAAATTTCTCAAGACATGATGTGCATTAACAAAATCACCAGGCTGAATTAAAACAAGCTTTTCAAAAAATGTTCCTTACAAATGGTAAGTCAGATATCGGTCTGAAGTTTCTCTTCTTCAACAGGGGTCTGACCAGCGCCCCTTTAAAGGCGGCAGGAAAACCCCGCGTCTGAGAGCAGTTCATCATGGTTGAAATCTCATCTCTAAAATATCCATAAAAGGGCTTAAAAATGAAGTGACTATGGAAAAGTATGCATTCTTAATTATTGTCTCCCTGTATTATTTTGAATTAATTGGTTTTGTTTCTTTATTCTAATTTTTGCTTATCATTTATTTTTCTTGCACCACGAACCGCAGCAATTTCCTAATGCTATTCTCACACATGTGGCAATAAAACCCTTCTGATTCTTATTCTCTCGCACCTCTTTGAATGATATTGACACTATTTGTAAATGAGTTACACAAACACCCATTTATTTCAGTTTTTATCGATAAGTAATATATACTTTAAATTGTTAATTAAAATGGCTGAGTAGTGCTTTCTGCTTCTCTTTCATATTTTTAAAAATACCTGCCATAGATCTCACACACATTTTGTATGATACTTTAATTATTTTGACTCTCATTGTTTGATTTTTAGTGACTGATCCTTATTTTGAAACTAAATGATAAATGATGAATGACCCACACTTGATGCAGGTGACTTTGACAGCTATGAGCAGCTCCTTTAGTGGGAGACTGCGGCACCCAAGGTGTGGGACAGAGAGATTCCGTAGGTCTTTCCTCCCTACTGCTGTCAGACTCTACAACAAAGCTGTTGGATGAAGTGTACTCTGTATTTCTAGCTGTATCTAGTATGGTTATTATTTATTATTTTTTAACCCATTCTTAAGGTATAAACTGTCTATTGTATTGAGTTTATTTTATCTCATTGCGGTCGGTCTTATTGTATTTTAATGTTTTTCTCCCTCTGCAGCATAACTTTTACTTTTACTTTGCTTGGCTGTAAACGAAACAAATTTCCCACTTGTGAGACTAATAAAGGTCATCTTATCTTATCTTATAGCACCTCTCAGAGTAAGGACTCCAAAGCGCTTTACACTACAGATTCATCCATTCACACACTCAATCGCACACTGATGGTGATGAGCTACAATGTAGCCACAGCTGCTCTGGGGCGCACTGACGGAGGCAAGGCTGCCACCGGTCCCTCTGACCACCACCAGAGGGCAAGGTGTGTCTTGCCCAAGGACACAACAGCAGAATTATCTGTCCGGAGCCGGTATCGAACCTGCAACCTTCCGATTACTGGAACACCCGCTCAGCCTAAGTTCCACACCTAAGTTCTGAACAAGAGTCACATATGTACCCACAGCAAACCCACTATGCTAAAACATGTGTCCTGTATCAGAGCTGCATGTGCGAAGTTTGCAAAGAAAATAAAAATGTTTCAAAATCAGCTTACTATCGAAGGAGTTATGGTTGATTAAACATGCTGACACTTCAATGCCTCTGTCAGAAAGGAGGGGGGGACCGATCCAAGATGACGGCGTCACCGCTCGTCATGTAATACAGGTTATTATTGGGCGTAGTAAAAACCATGGGCACTTCCCTACCCAGCATTGGGTAAGAAGCAGCTGAGGGAGCGCATTTGACTGTTGTACCTGCATTCTTGAACTCGAACAGACGAGGATCTGCTTTAATGGGAATCAGGCCTAATCTGTGAGCAAGGACTTCATCCTGGACAATTGATGTATTGTTATAGATGAACACCTTCTCAACAGCCATTGTGGGCACCTGCAGGCAAAATAAAAGCAAAGCATAAAAAAGATTAACAAAAAACATACAATGAGACATTTTTGCCTATAAAGGTCTAACTGCCTAATCGCATCAGGGAGAAAATGTTGAGTCCAGCTATAAAAATGTTGGATTCTTTCTCCTGAGAATGAGTCCAGCCTTAATTCACTGCTACTATGAATCCCATAATGTGAACATTAGAAAGAGACATAAATAATGGACCTGACCCAGCAGAAACTCCGTCATCACCAGAGATTTGAATGGGTCTGCACACTGGCTAAGAAAATTGTTATCAGTGTTTCCCCTAGAAAATTTTCCAGCCGTGGTGCACGGGGGGTGGGGTGTAACGTTTTTGGTGCTGTGCATTGGCTGTTGGGGGGGGGGCTCCCGACGGTTGCGCTGTTGTTGGGGTGTTGCGGGCGGGGTGGGGTGGGGTGGGGGTGGATGGGTGCGCATACATATATATATTAGGGCTGGGCAATAAATCGATATTTTTAAAATATCTATATAATTTTTAAACAAGATACAAGATGACTTTATATCTTTATATCAATATAACTGGTCAAACTGCTATGCTAGCGATTAGCCGCTATGCTAGCGACATGTTGCTCCGTCTCTAAGCTTCTGAACCACCTGTAAACGGTTCAGGGAAGTTCTGCTCAGACACGTGAAAAGAGAGTTGCAGTAAACTAAGCGTGAGATGAAGTTGTGGAGAAGTCTCAAGTTCAGAACGGGACAGAATGGAACTCAGCTTAGCGATGTTCCTGAGATTGAAGAAGTTAGAGCGAAAAAGAGAACTGACATGAGAATCCAGGCTGAGAGCTGGGTCAAAGGTCACACCAAGATCCCAGACAGAAGGTTTGGTGTGAGATGCAAGCTGACCAAGAGAGCCCCTGACTTTGGGAACCAGCTTGTCTGGGGCACAGATGAGGATCTCAGTCTTATCCTCATTCAGCTGTAGAAAGCTCCCAGCCATCCAGGTTTTGATAAGAGTCTAAGCAGGTGTGTAACAGCTGCAGCTGAGACATCTCATGGGGCTTAAAGGAGATGTACAGTTGGATGTCACCTGCATAAAGATGGTAGGAGATTCCTTTGAAGAAGCTCAGGATGTGCTGAAGAGGAAGCAGATAGAGGAGGAAGAGCAGAGGCCCCAGCACAGAACCTTGTGGGACACCATAGGTGACATATATTATATATATATATATATATATATATATATATATATATATATATATATATATATATATATATATATATATATATCTCCAGTTCTTATTCTACCACAAGGTGTGCACCAGCACTAGAGAGTGGACACGAAAAAGATGATGAGTATTAAACTACTCTAGGGGGGTCCGGGGGCATGCCGCCCCCACCACCACCACCCCTGGTAGAAAATTTTGAGCATTTTATTTTTAAAAGCATCAGTCTGGTGCATTTTGAGAAAAAAGGTAGAGTTACAGGCTGGTGAGGATGTATGATAAAGTATCTACACATGTTTACAGCATTATAATATTATATTTGATTGCGTTTATATCCTATCCTGTCTTTAATCCATTTTGAACACCGACTACAGCTAAATCCTCTTATGCATCCATGCTGCTCAGTACCAGAACTGCACTGATGTCACTAGTTACTAAAGAACCAATCAGCTGGCAGAGCTGCTGTTGAACACGTGAGCATACAGAAGTTGCAAAACTATGTGACTCAATGTAAGGAACAAAGTAGAATCCAGCTGCTGTTGTTTATTTGTCGTTTATGTTTATAGAAACTAAATCTATCTGCAGGGCTTTAGGCCCAGGGCAGAGTTTTAGACCTCAGACTGAACCACATCCAGACCTGTTATTAAAAATATTGTGTATTCTTTACACCAATCAGAAAATTCAGTGATGTCCACAAACATCCAAACCTTAGAAATGAAATGAAATCAATATTAAAATTTAAAATGATTAACATTGTTTCGTCATTATAGATCAGTTATCTGTGAACGTTTTTATACTTGATATTGTCCAGCTGAAGCAGACATCTGCTTATTTCTAATAGAGCTGAGCTGTGGGAGAAAATATTCAGGCTTATTTAATCGTATTTTCCACCTGTGGATTTAATGCATTCACTTAATATTAATTATAAAGTTGTAAAAAAACAGGTCATTAGAGTCTGGGCATAGAACGTGTTTCTAGGAACAGAAGCTTGTTGGGTTACGGTTAGCAGCAGCTCACCTGTTCCTGACAGGAGAAATCCTCTCATCAGCAGCAGGTGATCTACAGAGTAACAACGGCCCGAAAAAAAAAAAATAAAATAAATGAAAAAAAAAATAATAATAATAATGCACCAAACTCAAAAAGGGCCACCGGGAATTTCCCTAACTTAGATCTGTGGCTCCTATTCTACCAAAACCAGAGCGCACCGCGGGAGCGAGATTGTAATGAGCGCGAGTGTTTTTACCGCTTGGTAAACGTGGTGCAGTGGTGGGGAAACGCGTTTCAACAGCGGAACCGACTGGAATGCTGACGTAACACCGGGGGAGGGGGGAAGAGCTAACACAGCCCGAGAAACACAGAGGGACCGGACTGGAAGTAACGCTTTTTGAGCTAAACTGCAGGAAATGTGTGGGTGTTACCTCTGCTAGTAAGATTCTTCTGAAGGCGTTGGCAATGGACGCATCAATCCCTACCATGTCAAACTCCATACTGCTTTCGTCCAGATGCACTATGTCAATTCTGAAGTTCTGCAAAAGCAAAAGAGGAAACACGTGTACAGAGCTCAGCATAAATGAATACACCTTGAAAATGTATAAATTTAGTCAGCAGCTCAATGAACAAAAGAACAATTTCCAGAAATTTCACAAGGCTTGTTTAACTCCATAACATGAAATTAAGGTTAACAATATAACTGAGATCACAAAATCTTCAGTTTTACTAACATTGGTTGAAGCAAAAATGAATACACCCCACAACAAAACCTACTACATCTAGTATTTTGTATGACCACCGTGATTTTCAAGGACAGCACCAAGCCTTCTAGGTATGGAATTAACAAGTTGACTACTTATTGCAACATCTATCCTTTCCATTCTTCAAGAAGAACCTCTTTTAGAGCCTGGATGCTGGATGGAGAGTGATGCCCAACTTGCTGCTTCAGAATTCCCCACCGGTGTTGGATTGGGTTCAGATCAGGAGACATACTTGGCCATTCAATCACCTTCACCCTGCTGTTCTTCAGGAACGCAACAGTAGCTTTAGATGTGTGTTTTGGATCATTGCCGTGTTGGAAAAGTGCACGATGACAACGTGCGTGGAGTGATGGCAGCATCTTCTCATTTGGTATTGAGTGGTAAATTGTTGAGTTCATGATAGCATCAATGAAATGCAGCTCCCCAACACCAGCAGCACTCATGCAGCTCACATAAGGACGCCGCCACCACTGTGTTTCACTGTAGGCACCATGCATTTCTCTTTGAAACCCTGACTTTTACGACGCCATTGTAGGGTTTGGTAAATTGAGTGCTTTAAGAGCTCAATATTTATTTTATCTCTACTTATGACCAATAAGCTGTAATACTCTATCTAAATATAGAATATCAATCCTGCTTGGTCTTTGTGTGTTCATCAGAAGATTCTAGGATTCTTTATCTATTAAGGGATTGTACACACTTCGTTTTGATTCAGAAAAGAGTCAGGTTTATAAAAGTAAGAATTTATTTTACAAACAATTAAAACATGACAAGTTAACTAACATTTTACTGTGATGGATGAAACCTGGGTGTGAATGCGACGTTATCAGACCTTCTCTGTCTAGGAGAGCTGACTTCTGGATGTAAAATAATTTGGTTTGCGTTAAGCTATGAAGCTGATTATTATCAAAAGCACATCAGTTGCTATCTGTGTCTACTTCACCCATTCTGGAGACCCTCTTGGTATATCCGAAGGTCAGAGAGGTCGGATGACCTCTGGCACCGAAGGGCTGTAGAATACCGTGGCACCGACTCTTCAGTCCAGAGATGTCTCGGGTCACAACAGATGGATGGAACCACGCGTCTGGGACTCTTTAAGGAGTCTAAACAATATCAGCTCATTCTGCAGGAACTGTTTGCTTCATCAGCTTTGCAGGTGCAAAAAGGTTTTGACGACGTGTCAAAAGCTTTGATGGGTTAAAGAGGGTCTTGCTTCAGATGGCCGGTCTGAAGCTTTCTCTAGAACTGAGGAATAACCAGAGTAATCTGGTTTTAATGTTCTCCTGTTATGATTTGTGTAGCCAACCAGAGGTTGACAAGTTTGAGGAATATTACCAAGAGTCTCAGAAACATGTCTTCTTTGATACCGGACGCTCTGATCTGGAGTAAAGGGCTATTTATGACTCATGAGTTTAACTTAACCTTACTTTGTTCTGGTGTGAGTGCAACTGGTGATGACCTTGTCATATAAAACATGCTGAAACATATTTCAATCACTGTAATCATAACATAACGTTCATTTCAAACTTCAATCATTGAGCACAGATTAATGAAAACATTTCATTACATTATAATTGTTATAAGTAGCAATAAACAAACGTTTATTTAATGATTATCTAGCTTATAAGTTTTAGAAGTTCATATTTAATTTAGGAAATCATTCTTTGATTTAGCAACTAATCCGGGCTGCAAGTTTTAGGCATGAAGAATCCTGTAGGACAGTGGTTCCCAAACTTATTTAGCCGCGCACCCCCTTCTATGTGCCGACCATGTCGACGCCCCCCCCCCCCCCCCCCCCACACACACACACACACACACATCACGGCATGGCTATATATATATATATATATATATATATATATATATATATATATATATATATATATATATATATATATATCAGACGTCAAGCTAAACAGACAGGGTTAAAAAATATGATCGACCTTTTTCCCCATCACTTTCATTTTTTAAATAGTAATTAATAAACATTCGATACCATTACAATTTCCTTTGATTTAATTTTAAATAAATATTTAGAGTGCCCAGGTAGCACATAAACAATGCAATTTAACGGTTTTCTTAAAGCAGGAACGTTTAACCTGTGCGGCCAGAGCGCTCTCCTTCCTTCTGCTCTGCGTAAACCTGAACTGGCCACCTACTGGTGCGTAATCAAATGTCTATAGGGGAAAAGGAAAAAGCTTTAGCCATGAGGTTCACTTTTGCCTCAGACCGACTTATTGCTGTTTTATGGTGTGGCTGAATCTGCGATCCGCTGCCACGCGGACAGGAATAACATATGCTGCAGGTTCGGAGTCACTGGCTGGAGCGGACTCGACTTTAATACGTCATCCCAAAATAGAAGCTAATATCTTAATTTGACCTGGAATGAAAAATGTTGTTATAAAACCTCTTAAAAGTTTTTATCACAGAGGAGGCAGAGCTCATTTCTGCCTTCAGTCTGACGGTATCAGTCTGGCGCGCCGCAGTTTGCGCAGCGTGCACTTATTGAATGTGTGTGTGTGTGTGTGTGTGTGTGTGTGTGTGTGCGCGCGCGCGCGGCACAGCTCCACGAAGCTTGGTTTATGCTTGACGCATTCACTTTCCGCTTGGTGATGCGGCTCGCGGATGGAACGCGCTTCACAACTTGCAGCGTTTAAGTCACCGTGGCGCTATTTAAACCAATGTTGTAAAATTACTTCTGCCCAGCCCAGATGTGCTCACTTGTGCACCCGTGAACCGTGTTTCCGCTGGACCGCGTCTGACCTCTGACAGACGCACTCTAAACTTCAGATCTTCAGCGCGTGTGAGGTTTACAGTGTCAGAACACCTGCATGAGACAGGTGTTAATTACAATCTGCCAGAATGACTCACCACCTTCAGATTTCTCCAACACCGTTAAAAATGATAAAATACGGAACATATCGGCGTGCGCAGGCCAGAGTGCTGAAGCTCGGCGCATTGTTATTATGAAGCTAGGGCACATGTGGAGGACACACACACACACGTAAAATATACTTGTTTTCAATTACATTTATTGTGCCCACTTACTTTTTCTTTGGCCCACCCACAAATGAGTTTTCTGGCAACGCTAACCCCGAGTTTCCACGGGAGCCGTCAGCAGCACGTCTTGCTCGCGTAAGCTGCTGCTTGGCCCTTCCCACAAGACGCGAAGCAGCAGGGGAGCAGCTGTCACCGACCGAGCACGAAGTCACACGAGTGACTTCGTCAGTAAACACAACAACAAGCAGGAGAAAATTACAACATGGTTTGTGTTTTATGTTCTGTCCGTTTTATAATCGCCAATACGGACCTGAAAAACAAAGGAGACCGCTAGCTAGGTGATAACTTCTCACGGGGCCGCACAGTTAGTAACTTTTTTTTAAAGTAAAGCAACCGGAAGGCAGTACGTTCTTTATTCTGAAAATCTCGGGTGCTTCTCTCCATTTCCGCGTCCGATTTCCTGTCTTTCCTTCCCCAAACATGTCTAAATTGACCAGTTTCAGAGGCGTCGCGCGTAGAAAATAGAACCGGCGCGTAAAGGCCGCGACATGCTGCTCCTGAGACGCGGCCGACTCGCGCTGCTGACGGCTGCCGACGGCTCCAGTGGAAAAGGTTCTGTTGACCACAGCGGTTCCTATCAGCAGCTATGACGTGCTGCTGCAGTAACGTGCTGCTGACGGCTGCCGTGGAAAGCCGGGGTGAGAGGTGACACCTGACAGACTTCTCTGAGCTCCGCAGCCATTACACTTTTCACCTCACGCACCCCCTAGTGGCAGCTTGCGCACCCCCGAGGGTGCGCGCACCACACTTTGGGAATCCCTGCTGTAGGACGATAAGGATGGACCTTGAGGAGAGAACATTATTGTTGACCATTCATTATCTGTGTTCAGAGCTGCAGGCTCTGTGCTCCAGCTGATGGGACGAAGGCAAGCCAATTTAAAGGGAACACATGCAGTCTCGTGTCTTTCTGACCAGACGTTGAATGGTCAAACTGTACCTAAAAACTGACCATTGCTGGACGTTACACCATACAGTTTTGAAACCATTAGTTCCAAAAACCATGATCTTTGTCTCATCACTCGATGAATAAAGAGTCCCAGTAGACTTCATCTCTTTCTGCATGGGCCTTGTGCATGGGCTTTAGGAGAGGCTTCCTTCGTGGACGATACCCATGAATGCCATTCCTCTGCAGTGTACAATGTTAGTCTTTGTACTGCTTTAGCTAACTGCAGTGGACCTGCATGGAGATTTTCTTGAACCCTTCTCATCAGAAGATGCTCCTGTCGAGATGTTAACATTCGTGGACGGCCTGGACGTCTCTGTAATCAATAGGCATGTTTCCATTACCAGAACTTCAGGGTAGTTCCTGGGATGGGAAACTTGACTAGGATATAGGATGTCCCAGTCCTCTCAGCTGTTGTGTCTCCATTCAAATCCAGCCCTTTCAGAACTTGCACAGACATCAGCGTGTCACAACTGTATTGACACTGTAGGGTTGGGCATCGAGCATCGATTGGAACCAGTTCTAACTGTTCATTTCTCCCGGACTTGTTCGAAATAATTTTTTTAGACTCCTAGTTTCGATTCCTAGAATGCTGGTGGAAGAGGAGTCCGCGGCCGATCTCCATGAAAAATAAACGTGATCTGCAAATTGTAATCAATGCTTTTCAGAGCTGATCACACCAGCTGTCTGTGTGCAGCACCGAGTCCCCCCTCCCCCCCACCTGGCGTGCAGCGGCCAGATATAAACAAGCGTGTCTGCCGAACTTTTACTC